AAGTGGCCTACAGTTGGTTCTGGGCATTCAGAATGTGGCCCAGGAATGGAGTTCTGGGACCTCGAAGACCACGACATGTGTAACTGTTTGCTTAAAACGATTTCCGCGGATTCTCCCCGGATCCTGCCCGGACCCCCCCGGGGAGTCCTGATGTTCTCTTTTGAAACCATTAGAAACCCATCAGTCTTCGCTGTTAAGTAAAAAACGATCCAGGTGAACTCTTGCAGGAGACGCGGCGCCTCTGCGTGCCCGGCCCTAGGCAACCACGATAACTGAATTGCGAGCTGCAACGCTGCAATTTCCTCGGCGCGCAAGGTGCTGATCGATTTCGGCCTTGACACTGGGCCTACGTCTCTAATGGGGCTCTGTCTCCGATGGGATATCTATTGTGCCTATGCGAGGAATTTGGGGCCTGGCTCGATTCTATCCGCAACGTTCACGTGTTCCTCCTGGCCAGACCCACGGGGGGGCATCGCCCGATCGCCCTCTTTCCGTCCATGCACCGCGCGCGGGCCAAAGCTCGGCTCTCGTGGGTCCGCGACCGGGCATCGAAACTGGATAGGGCCTACTTGGCTCTCGGAGCGCAGAGGTCCACCTCGGATGCCGCAGCCAGAGTCCTCGTCCATAATGAGACAGGCAGGCGCGCCATCGGCACTGAGCACGCCTCCCTGCGCGCCATGGTGGACATCGCCTAGTGTTTTGACAAAGTGCCCCAGGGCCAGGTTATGCGAGCGGCCCCCGCCTGTGGTCACCTAGGAGGGGTTCTGGTTTTGGTTGTGGAGATGTATTTGGGCGCCAGGAGATCGGCGTGGGACGGATGCTTCACGGTGGCCACCTGGGCACGTGGATGAGCGCCGCCCTGGGCGCGCCGTCGCTATGCGCGCCCTCCAGTGCCTCGTGCTCGCCCCTTACGGTGCCTTCTACAAGCGCGCCGCCGCGATCGACCTGTGCGCTGTGATGTCGCGTTGTCGATCTTAGGCCCCGCCAACAGGCTCTACGAGGACTCCTTGGAGATTCTTCGTTTGCTGGTCAATGTTCTGGATGGCCCGGGGCTTCCGACGGCGAAGAACAAGAAAGTGGCTCGCAGCATTCCACGTCTTGTGAGGACTGCCCGCGGGAAGTTGCGTCGTCTTGGGCACGCGTACTGCAGCGCCCTTGAAGCCCTGGGAATCGAGATCAGTTCGGGGGGCCCACTAAGTCCACCAAACTCAGGTCGGGCGTGCTAACGACGGCGGGACGTTCGCCGAGAATCCGCGCCGCGTGAAGCGCCGGCCCACGGGCCATGCGTTTCGCCAGGCAGGCCGCCGCGCCCGCCATGACCAATGGCATTGGAGCGCGCGGAGCCCCTCCGCAAATTGTTGCCAGGATGAGGAAGGTGCCCGGGCAGTCCTGGCGCACTCCTGGCTGGAAGGGCCACGTCGGCGTGGCCCGCTTCCTGCCTGCAATCTACGAAGCGTGCCAACCCGCAGGTCCTTGCCTGGGCAACGCCCATTCACCGCTGGGCCCTACTTTATCGCGATAGCGCAGTTCAAGTCGGGTGTTCGCAGAAAGCGCGGCAGCGCCAAATTCGGATCGCATATCAGAGCCCCAGGCCTTGGGCTAACGTTTCGGGCTCCGCCGGGGCCAGCCTCCTCGCCACTGGGGGCCTCAACTGGGCCGCCGCTGCGGGGCGCCTCATCGAGGCTGATCAGGGTGGCACCCTCGACCTCGCCAAGGACGCGCCCTCCGCGACGTTATTCTTGGCGCGGGGCGCTGCTATTCGGCGCCCTTGGGAACGTTGGGCCACGAGGCATCTGGGCTCAGCCGAGCTCATGGAGCCGGGGGGGCCCAAATTGCACTGGTCGGGGCCCATCCTGCGCGTTCTCGCCCATAAAAAACCCACCCGGTCACGAGGGCCCCCCCGAGGGCGAGGATCGCTCAGACATCTCTGAAGCGCCTCCCCTTGACCCCGCGGGGCAGCGCCGTAGGGACTGCAAGCCCAACCAGGAAGAGGCAGGCCTTCTTCGCGCCGTCGTTTCTGGAAGGGGCGCGGGCTCCTGCGCGCCTCGAGCAGATGGGGCGCCGCGCAGAGGCGCGATGCCCTTCATGTGGCTGCGACTTTTGCGACAGCCGCCGCTTGTTTTGGGAGTGCTCGCACTTGGAGCAAAAGAGAGAGCGGCACTTTCGTGGAGTGGATCTCAGAGGGCCCCCCACCAAAGAGAGGGGCGCCTGGCAATGGGATCGTGGGCTTGTCGGCAGGTATTGCTTTCCGCCCGTTTCCTCGTCGCATCCGTTCCTCAGCTCGGCGCGCCCTGCATGGCGACCCGCAGGGAATCGCAGGCCGCGCGTTCGCATATGGCGCACGCGAGAAGATATCGACGTGGTCCGAGAGCTCCAGAGCTGGATGAGGATTCGCTCAGGTGTCTTCTCCTTCTCGGGTTGTCCGTGCCGTTGCATTTGGGTCTTTACCTGGCCCTGTGCAAACTTCGCCGAGAGCTGACGTGCATGCAGTCTTGCAGGTACTAATTGTGTGCATCCCTCCCATAACTAGCGTTGCCAATGTTTAAAGGCTCCTTGGTGGGCTCGACAAGGGTCGAAAGTGGCGCGCCGCGCCTCGTGGGCATAACGTCGGGCTTTGGGAGGCCATCTGGAGGAAAGTAGATGGCCTCGGAGGCCTGGGAACTGGTGTCTTTGTTGAGCTGCGTAGGGGCCGCCAGAAGGGGCCCGGGGAGATCGTCCGTGGGAACAGATGGGCCGGCCTTGCGGCCACCCGCAATCGTGACTTCAATGCGGCCAGCAAAGAGACCTGCCAAGGCGTGGCTGCTGCGCACACTAGTCTCCTCGTTCCTGCAGTGGACGGTGCAGTCCTTTGGTTGTCTCGGTAAGTCGGGACGGACTAATACCATTCCTAAGGCTAAGCGCCAAGTCCGCGCCGCCCACAGACGGGAGGACAGCCCCGAGCCTGCTTCCCAATTAAGGCACGCTAAGAGCCCAACACCTCGTATGATTATTCAACGTTGTAAATTGTGTGGAATATAGGAGCCAAGACCGCCGCCCAGGCTGATAGGTTTTGCCTTCCCTCCTGCCCTGCTCGCCTTCGGGCGTCGGAGGGTACGCCTGCGCCCGTGTCCGTGCAGTTTCCTGGGTTGGTGGGGGGCGGCTCCAATTCTGGAGCCCCGCGCGGCACCTCTCAGGACGACCCTCTCAGGTCTTCTGGAAGCGCTGCTCCCTCGGCTCGAGAAGGGACATCGCCGACGGATGCGCCTGCCTGGGGCGGCTTGGGAGATGGCAGCAGAGTGGGTGGCCTAGCTAGCGATGGAAGCTCCCCGGGCTGAGAGAGGCACAAGTCGCCTCCATGCTGCTCCTCCCTCTCCCTCCCGACGTCTTTGACCTTCGTCGTGCGACTCGTCGTTTTCGCCACTCGGGGGACGTTGAAGCGTCGGACTCTGAGGGCGGCCGTCGTTGTGTTCGCCCAGGGGTCTCTTTCGATCCCGTCCAGCTCGTGTGTTCTCCTGATCAGATGCTGTTTGATCGGGCCACCTCAGTCATCGCGATACCAGATCGCGAAGGCCCTGCGTTTAGGCCCGGCAAGCGTCGCAGGCTGGGCAGCAAAGGCGGACACTACAGACCTGCCCTTGGCGCCTGAACGGCGCCTGCCATTGCCCCCCCCTCCCACGGGCCCGTCCCCGCGGAGGCTGCCAGGGGCCATCGGCTCTGGGTGGCCCTGTCCCACGTCGTGTTGTGCGTTTCGTGCGGTTTCTACACTGCGGGCATGGCAGGGCACCTGCTGTTAGACTGCCCCCCTGGCACTGCTGGCCATCGCCTCTCTGAGAGGGCGCAGAGGAATCGTCGCCAGTCTTTGGCCAGGGCCCATCCTGCGGATGAAAGGCGAGCGGATTCTCGGAGAATCTCGGCCCCTCGGCCCCTTCTGGGCTCGGACCGTGAGGCCCACTGGGTCAGGCTCTTGCAGAGCCACTGTTCTGGGACCGAAGAGGAGAGCAGCACAGGAGGTGTGCACGTTTCCTGACCGCACCTTGCCTGCTCCCTCTCTCTATCCCTTTCCCTTTGCCTTCTGCTTGTGCCTCGCCCCGCGACCCTCTGGTGGGGGCGTGGCGACTGACAGGCATGGAACGGTCACGCGTGACCGCTCCCTCTCCCGAGCGCGCCTGGCGCCCACCTTGGAGCGCGGCGTCCGCCAGCTAGTGCCGTATCCTCCTCCTCCTCCTCCTCCTCGTCCCCGTCCTCGTCCTCTTCTCTCCCCCCCCCTCCCCCCCCCGCTCCCCTCCCTTCCCCCCCTCCCCTCCCCTCCCTCCCTTCCGCCCGTCCATTCCGTTCTTCTTCGATCCCCTCCCTCCTCTCATCCCCCTTCTCCTCCACTCCTTCTTCCTCCTTTATTGTTTTTGGCGTTGGGTAGACTCAGATCAGATCCCGCCTTCTCCTCCCCCTTCCCTCCTCCCCCCCCCTCTTCCCTCCTACCCCCTTCTGGTGGACCTGGCGGACCAACAAAAGTCAAATGCACAGGGCACAATTGACCTTTGGGCACCAACCCAAAGCTGGACCCCACCCTACTCACCCGTCCATCCCCCTCCCTCCCTCCCCCTTTCTGGGAAAACCAACAAGTTCCGAGACCGCCACTCCCCAGACCCATCCTGAAGTGCGCTCTGACCAGCACGTCGAAGCGCACCCGGCGGTGGCGACACGAGGGCCTCCCAGGAGGCCCAGCAGGGCCAAAAACGAGGGCAGGGCAGCGGTATCTGCACCTCCCTCCCTCTCTCTTCGTCGATCCCCTCCCTCTGGCCCCTCCCTTCCTCCCTCTTCGTTAATGCCCCCCCTCTTCGTCGACTCCCGCCCTTCGATCCTCCTCTGGCCCCTCCCTTCCTCCCTCTTCGTCGATGCCCTCCCTCCTCGTCGGCTCCCTCACTTTGATCCTCCGCAGACCCCTCCCGCCCCCCCTCTTCGTCGATCCCCTCCCTCTGCCCCTCCGGCGGGGGGGCCGGCGGCCCGGAGCACGGGGGTCCTGCGGCTCGGCAAGGGCCGGGCCGGGCGCCTCGGCCGCGGGCGGCGCGGCGGGCGCCGCGGCCGCGGGAGGCGCCGAGCTCCCGAACAGCTCCTCGAGGAGGAGGGGGGAGAGGAGGGGGGGGAGGGACGGAGGAGGGAGGGGGGAGGAGGCAGGAGGCAGGAGGCAGGAGGGAGGAGGGGGGGAGGGAGGGGGGGGGGGAGGGGGAGGAGGGGGAGGAGAGACAAGGGAGGGAGGAGGAGAGAGGGAGGGAGAGGGAGGGACAAGGAGGATGGGTGGGGGGGAGAGTGGGAGAGATGGAGGGAGGAGAGGGAGGAGGAGGAGGAGGAGGAGGAGGGGGAGGGGGAGGAGGAGGAGGAGGAGTTAGTTTTCCAGCGTGAGCTGTCGAACCATTGATGGCTTGAGCCATCCCGTTTACGGATAGTCGAATAACATTCAAACATATCTCAAACATCTCTGATGGTTCTGAAGCCTCTTACCCCGAACTCATACACAATCTAACTCCGATGCCTGTCCTTTACAGAACCGTAGGAAAACAAACACAGCGGAGCGTGGAGCGATCCACAACTGCTTTAAACATACAGCTTAGCTCTATCTCGATAGCTTCTGTAAGACATGCAACAATGCTTTTCGAACATCAGGCTGGCTTGCTAGGCTAACGTGAAAAACTCCTGTGCTTTCGAGCTTTATCGAGGAAGCTGGAGGTAGGACGAGTGAGGAGCAGCAACGCAAAGGCAAACGCTCATTTCTCCTCATCACATGATTCAAATCATGTCTCTCTCTCGCGGGTCGTTCCCACGACTGCAACGCATGTCGTAGTAGACGTCGTGATCTAGCTACTCCTGGAGGTTCTCGATCTCCTTCTCGGTAGCTTCCGGGTGTTGTGCTGCTCTCTTGTGTCGAACTGCCTGGCCCTCGATGAGGGTGATCTTCCACTTGCCGGTCGTGCAGTACACCAAGAGTTGATCGAACCAGCCTTCCTTCGTGAGGCCGTCGGCTAGCATGATCCTGGTTGGAACGTGTAGTAGAGAACGAATGCGATGATGAACTCGATCTTCGCGAAGTGCCATGATGGCCACTCTCTGCGACTTATCAGATGGTATGCCACGGCCACCTGTGATCAGCTCGAAGAGGTCCATGCAATCTGTCACCGCATCATGCGGTATGATCGTGATATCCTTCTGGCTTAGCTCCAGCATGTCATGTGCGGTAATCGTGGCACGCGGAGACAGAAGCATCTGGCAGAACAACTCTGTGAGCCTTGCCGCAATCAGCTGACCCATCTGAGTACATCCGATGGCTGAAAGCGTCTCCGCATGCGATGTCGAGTGAGAAACTCTTGAGGCCTTGCGAGCACTGAAGAACAACGTGTGTGCATAGCCTCCAACCTTGGATAAATCCTGACCAGTGATCCACTCAGGCGTGTCAATGGTCAGGTCGTCATGCATCATCATAACGAACTTACCTTCGTACGGATAGCAGCTCTTCTTGCTTGCATGCCCACAGTCGTGTATGCTGCAGAGCCTCAGTGGAAACGACACTCGATGGTAGTGCAGGCCGTTCATCTCCTTCGTCTTGCGAGCCTTTGCAAGTACACGATTGGCCATCTTCATATGCTGAACTTGAGGGCACACCATCTCTGACTGCAATGAAACCACATCATGAGCAATATCCACTCGCGTGAGACACAGCCATAGCAAACTGCAGACTAGCGACCTGAACTGGTGGTGCTCGTACTCGTCCAGCTCCTGGAAGTCCTTCTTGATGTTGTACGCGTTCGTGAACTTGGCCTCCGGCAGCTTCTCGAGGTAGTGCTGCTGGTGAACCAGCAGATGTCCTGGGGTGAGCATCTCGTGCTTCATGCCCAGGTAGGTGAACGGAAGGCCTGTCCTCTTCGGATTCCCGAACTTCTGTCCGAGCTTCTTGGCGATATGATCGAGGAAGTCCTTCGTCGCTGCTAGAAGAAGATCGTCCACGTGAATGATACACAGCGATACAACCTGCCAGCCATTGATGATCATCAGGAAACACTCGTCATGGGTACTCATCCTGTAGCCGATGTCCAGCTTCAGGTAGTGCAACAGCGCCAGCTGCCACAGCAGCGGAGCGTCCACCAGGCCATATAGCGCCTTGAGGCACTTCAGGATGAAGTGTGGAATATCTCCATCCAGTACTGTGATCTTGCTCTTCGGAATGTTCCTCCAGTGCCTCCAAATGTTCGCCGGCGGGCGAAACCAGACTTGGCGCGCTTCCTTGACCTCATGGCCTAGCTCCTTTGCTTTGGCCACCACCTCTGAGAACTTCAACCCTTGAAGAAAAGCTGTTGAGATGTCGAAGCTCTCGAGGGTCAACTCGAACTGCATGGCCAGTGAGCAGAGTAGCCTGTGGCTTAGCCGAGAGGCTGTTGACGAATGGCGACTCACCGTCGTCTTCTGGCGGTCCAGGAAACCGCGACCGCAGCACCTTGACTTGACAATACGCTTCTGCCGATTCTTCCACTTGCGCACCCAGATGCCGTCCACGACGTTCGTGGCATTCGAGGACAGGTCGATCTCGAAGACATCGTGGCTGTACAGCGACACTGCCTCCTCGTAGTCACCGATCTCCACGACATCCCAGTTGTCGATCACCTCTTGCGGCGTGAGGAGATCATCAGATGAGACCGAGAAAGACTGGTCCTCGCGAATGTCGTAGTAGAAACACATGGGCCTCGTCGTCGGCCCTTCAAGTACTACAAACGCCTCTGATGCCGTCCAGGGCAGCTCGCCTCGCTCAGCTTGCTGACTGAAGTGTAGGATCTGCTCTGCGTCGGCAATGGCATGCGTGAAGTGTTCCTCGTCAAAATGTGGCTTGAAGCCACCTGGAGCCACTTTACGCAGAGGCTGTCCCAGTCGGTGCTCAGCGTGGTGTACATCGAACCACACCTGGTAACTGTGCATCTCGAGCTTCTCCTGCTTGTCCTCGTCGATCTTTTCGCTTGTTGCCGGGCCGTAGTCGATAGTCTCGTCGACGTCGGCGGGCTCAGCGATGGGCAGGACTGGCTCTGGTGGAGCCAGGGCTCCCGATGATGCCGATGCCGCTGAGGCACGAACTCCAGGCGCCACTCGATCGTCGGGCGGAGCGTCTGGTGCTTCTCGCTTATGCGGTTGTGTTCTGGCTGTAATCGGCGATGCTGTTGATCGATGCCTTAGAGATTCTTGACGAACTTGTCGGTCATGCTCATCGTGTTGGGCTCGTGAATCTGGAGCAGGTCCATAGTCTCTCGTGCGAGACCTGTCCAACTCTGATGTAGTTGGCGATGGTCCTTCGTGACTTGCTCCTGGTAGAGGTATCTCCGGCAGAGGTCCCAAGATAGGCTCCTCTGGCTGACCATAGTCGAGAGTAGGCTCATGCGTGTTGCCGTAGTCCAGCGTGTCCTGCTGACTCGCTGGTGAAGACGGTGTCGAGGCCTTGGCCGCTGGAGGCGGCGTGGCTGCTCTCAGAGGTGATGCTGAGATTGCCACCTCTGGTTGCGGAGTCTTCGGTACGGCCACGTTCTCGCCCGATATCGGCACCCGACTTGAGGGTGTCTCCGGCCTGGGAGCCCGCTCGAATACTCTTGATCTTGACCGATCTGCCGTAGCTGGTGAACTGCTGGAGGACTCCGACAGCTTGACAATGTCGGTGTCCGCTTGGTCGTCTGGGTCGATCGCGCCTGCACTCGCAGGCGGCGCAGGAGGTGGCGGCACGAAGCCTGCGACTGATGCTGCTCCTCCTCCTGGCGGCGGCGGCGGCGGCCGCTTGATGTCAGCCTCGACCCCAGGTATGACGTCGAACGACACGTTCGGAGACAGTGGCCTGCGCCTCGCTGGTGGAGGCGTCTTGGGCACATATGACTGCGTTGTTGGCCTTGGCACATGTCTTACTGGTGGAGCTGGCATTGTTGGTTCAGCTGGTGTCTGTCGGGCAGCAAGCGGAACCTTCACTGGCAGCTGAGGCTGCTGACCACCTGGTCTTGGAAGATCTCCTTGTTGACGATAGTCATCTTCATCGTCGCCAGCTTCCAACCAAGAGCCTCCAAACGACGTCCATGGTGATGCTGTCCATGGAATGGGAGATGGACCACCAACTCCACTGAGGTCGACTTCGGGCGTGTCCTCGATCTCGTCGTTCGGCTTGTTGTAGCTGAAGTATAGCATGAAGCTCTCGTCCTTCCAAGGACCTGAAAATGAGAGCGGCAGCGCCTTGTCCGGCACCACATCACGGATCATGTAGCTCTCTCGGCGACTGTTGTTCCAGGTGATGAGCTGTCCGCGCTGTGCCGCTGAGATGGCATCTGTCCTCTTGCACTTGTTGCCAAACTGGATGCCATCGAACTTCGTGCCGTTGAGAACTCCCGTGAAGACCTTCTGAGCGACCGTCCACAGCGGTGGCGGATTCTGCTCAAGGTCGGGCGGCACGACGATATAGCTGCGGTCCACACTCGAGTAGACCAGGCCGTAGGTGTACGATGAGAAAGCCGCTCCTGTCTCCACCATCTCCATCATCTGCTTGACCGTGTCGTTGAACTCGTGCTGTGTGGCGTAGACCTGGCTGCTGTGTGACTTGTGGTGGAGTAGCCACACGAAGCCGATATGCGGGCGCAGGTGCCTGATGGGCACCAGCATGATGTGGCCTCTCCAGTCGACCACAGCTCTTGAACCGTCCTGGTAGACCTTAATCACCTCGCATGGTCCACGCCAGCCAGGGTCATCCTTTGAATCTGGCTCGCGCCAGAGATCTGCCTTCGCGCCGTCGATGATCTTCGCACGGTCCTCGGGCTTGAACTTCTGCATCTTGGTGTTCTGAGCCACCGCCAGTCGGTCCTCGACAATGCTCTGTAGTATCGCCTCCTTGGCCATCATGCGGAGGCGGATGGACACCTCGATGGCGTCTGGAGCTGTCTCCAGCGCTCCGGCAGCGGCTGAGATCGTCTTGACCTCTGGGTCATACAGCTCTCTGGGCTGATAGCCCAGCAAGCCTTGGTTGGGCGTGTGTCCGTTGTAGCTGAGCATGCTGTTGGTGGACATCGCAGTCTCGCAGACCACCTGACTCT